AGGTCAGCACTTTTACTCATATGTTCAAAATAAATAAAATTCTTTGTAAATAGTTCAAACTTTTCTATACCCGTAGAGTTGTTAAAAGTAAATTATAAAAACATACATATGAAACCAGCAATGTGCTCAGTTCTATACTAAACAAACCCTTAACAAAAGAAGAATTCACATTGCCAATGGGCATCTGAGAAAGTGCTCAGCAACATGAAGCTTCATGGAAATGTGAATTAAAACTATAATGAGTTATTAACATACCTGTCAGAATGGCCAAAATGAAAAACTGAATATACTTAGTGTTGCCAAGAAAGTAGAGCTACTGTCAATCTCATTATAAAATTTTTCAACTATTTGGATAATTCTTTGGCAGCATTTACTAAAAAAGAACACCTGCATCTCCAGCAATTATACTTGTAGATATATGCTGGGCAGAAGTCCTCTACGTTGGAATACAAAAACAGCCATCTGTAGGAATGTTAGTAACAACACTATTCATAATAGCCTCAGACTAGAATCAACCATATGTCCACAATACAATGGGGAAAAAAAAACTGGAAAAGTTATAAGACACTGTAAGAAAGCCTAATGAGTGCTATTTACAACATGAAGAAGCTAGATACTAAATGAAATGTATGATTTTGATTATATAAAGCTCACAAACTAATATTTTGCCTTATGTAAAGGCAAAAACTAACCTTTGATGTGAAATTGGATACATTTAGAGAATGGGAAGGTACTGGGACTTCACCTCAGGTCATGATCTCATGGTTATGGGTTTGAGCCCGGCGTCCAGCTCTGCTAACAGCTAGCTCAGAGCCTGGAGCCTGTCTTCGGATTCTGTGTCTCACTCTCTCTGACCCTCCCCTGCTCATGCTCTCTCTCTCTCTCTCAAAAATAAATAAAACCTTTAAAAAAAAAAAAAAGGAGAAGGTACTGAACAGGAAGAGGCATAAAGGGGTTTCTGGGGCTTTTAGGGTCTTGGCAAAATGAATTTTCTTGGCCTGTGTGTTGATATCACTGTATATGTTCAGATGCTAGATCACTGCGCTAAACTTTTAGAATTTTATATTCTGCTTCAATGAAAGGTTTATTTAAAAAGAATTTTTTCCTTTTTTTAATTTGATGTTTATTTTAGAGAGATTGCATGACTGAGTAAGGGAGGGGAAGAGAGAGAGGGAAACAGGATCCAAAATAGGCTCTGCAGTGTGCTTTGAGAGAGAGAGGGACAAAGTGTGAGCAGGGAAGGGACAGAGAGGGAAACAGAACTTGAAGTAGCCTCCAGGCTCTGCTGCAGAGCACGACATGGGACTCGAACCCATGAACTGTGAGATCATGACCTGAGCCAAAGTTGGACATTCAACCACCTGAGCCACCCAGGTGCCCTGAAAAAGAAACTTAATTAACACTTCTACCCTTCGGTCTGTAGTGTTCTATGACTGTGGAGAGCTTCATGCTGATGCCTCCCTGACCATCCATTTGGGCAGTGATGGGGAATCCCTTCAGTGTGTGGTGTCCCTGAACTGGAGCTTTTTTTTTTTTTAAGTTTATTTTGAGAGAGAGAGTGAGCAGGAGAGAGGCAGACAGAGAGGGAAAGAAAGAATCCCAAGGAGGTACTGCACGATCAGTACAGGGTCTAACATGGGGCTCAAACTCATGACCATGAGATCATGACCTGAGCTGAAATCAAGAGTGGGATGCTTAATGAACTGTGCCACCCACACACCTGAAGATGGATTCTAAGACAAGATCTTGTACTTGATAAGCTGGTGATACTTCACCTTACAAAGTCACCAGTTCCTTACTCCAAACACTAACAGGGATTACACTAAGGATTTCTGATCCCTTCTATCTTGAGTCATCTGTCACTCATTTTATAAAAAGAGAAAGGGTGAGACAGAAGCCTCAGCAAGAGGAAGGAGGAGCAAAGCAAGTAATAAAACAATTGCTTTAGAGAGAGCCAGGGAGAGGTGGTGCCTGGCTGGCTTAGTTGGTACAGCGTGTGACTCTTGATCTCAGGGTCATGGGTTGAAGCCCCACCTGGGGTGTTGGAGCCTATTTTAAAAAACAAACAAACCCCCCCCCCCCAAGAAAACTATCGACTTCATTAGGTAGTGTTGCTCTTTTAAATCTAGAGCTATATGAGTCAGATAGCAAAACTAATGTTTCTCTTTGCCCTTGATAAATTATGAAGGTTCACTGAGACTAGAGTTGGACTCAAGTTCTAAAGCTTATAAATCTTGTCTGACTCCTATTTTAATCAACCTGTGCTGCCATTATTGACTCAAATGTTTATTTAAAAGTCACTGAGTAAGGTAAGTCCTGGAATAGTGAATCATACTCAGTATACATTCAATAAACGTGGCTAAACTTAACTTGCACTGGGTGTTTTTCTTGTATGGAAGCATGCACCACTCAGTATGTATGGGACCTGAGCTCTGCCACCTGCAGTCTGTGTGTCCTTGGAAAAGGTGCTAAAGACCTGAGGCCCGGCTGCCTCAGCTCTAAAATGGGAATAATTCTATCTTAGGCAAAGGTGACTGAGTGTATCAAAAAAGAGACAATAGATGTGAAAATTCCATAAATTGTCAATATCTCTGTAAACATGAGGGGTAAAACGTTGTGTGACTGGGGTCTTGGTAAAACTTAATTTTCTTTAGTAAAAGAGCTTGGAAATGTCTGCACTAGTCAGTTTAGAACAGATACGATATTTGCAGAACAATCTTTTGTAGAAGCATCACTGTTAGTGATCTGATAATGTTCATCTCTTATTCCATTGATATCTGNTCTTGTCTGACTCCTATTTTAATCAACCTGTGCTGCCATTATTGACTCAAATGTTTATTTAAAAGTCACTGAGTAAGGTAAGTCCTGGAATAGTGAATCATACTCAGTATACATTCAATAAACGTGGCTAAACTTAACTTGCACTGGGTGTTTTTCTTGTATGGAAGCATGCACCACTCAGTATGTATGGGACCTGAGCTCTGCCACCTGCAGTCTGTGTGTCCTTGGAAAAGGTGCTAAAGACCTGAGGCCCGGCTGCCTCAGCTCTAAAATGGGAATAATTCTATCTTAGGCAAAGGTGACTGAGTGTATCAAAAAAGAGACAATAGATGTGAAAATTCCATAAATTGTCAATATCTCTGTAAACATGAGGGGTAAAACGTTGTGTGACTGGGGTCTTGGTAAAACTTAATTTTCTTTAGTAAAAGAGCTTGGAAATGTCTGCACTAGTCAGTTTAGAACAGATACGATATTTGCAGAACAATCTTTTGTAGAAGCATCACTGTTAGTGATCTGATAATGTTCATCTCTTATTCCATTGATATCTGGATCCTCATGATCACTGAAGGTCATCCTTACAGGTCTGCAATGTTGTGCTAGTTCTGTAGGTTTTTTGGTGTTTGTTTGTTTGTTTGTTTGTTTTTAAGGTATGATTTTTAAGTAATTACACCCAATGTGGGGCTCAGTCTCACAACCCTGAGCTCAGAGTCACATGCTTTACCAACTGAGCCACCCAAGTGCCCCAGTTCTCTGCATCTGTTTAATGAATTCCCTGCTTCCCATTCCCATTCAGTAAATCCATGCCTTTAGTTTTAAAATCTTCCATTTCTTGCCATGCATACTTCATTCCATTAATTCTAACAATATTTCTAACAATTCCAGGCCACAAAAAGCAACAGAAGCAGCTGTGTCTGGAGGTGACTACGAGGTGGGGGAAACCCTAGCTTCTCAAGTCTTGCTCCCTAAATTCTAAGATTGGCTCTTTTCTCAGTTACCTGAGCAAGTTTTACTTCTGCAGTGATGATGAGGGGAGAATCCCTATGGTTTTTTGTTGTTTTTTTTAATTTTGTTTTTTTGTCTTGAGAACTTAAAGTCCTTTTAATCTTGGAATCAAATAAATAAAGGCTTCTATTTAGTGAAGTCTATTATTTTGTGAACAGTCAGTGAGGTGTACGTACCGAGGAACTAATGTTTTGGGGGTTTGATTTTGTTTTCCTGTCATTGTTGAGGTGGCTGTGGTGTATCACATATGTATCACATATGGCCATAGTGGGCATCAGAAGATCTCAGTTCAAATCCCATTTGTCACTTGTAAGTGGTGCAGCATTGAATGGGGCTCCTGTTGTCTTCAAATTTCCCTTTCTCCATTTGTAAAAATAAAATTAAAATTCCTTTTTCCAATGTTTGGGGGAACAAGAGTTTGATGGTAAACGTATACAGTAAAACCTTGGATTATGAGTAATTTCTTCTGTGATTCGCAAGCTGCACAAACATTTCTAATAAATTTTAACTTGATAAACAAGCGATATCTTGCAATATGAGTTGTGCATGTGACACTGAACATCACATGATCACAAATGAGCCAGTGGTTCTTTCTGTCTCACGGTGGGATTGTGGATGATCATCAATGCAATGTCACAGTTCCCTGAAATTCTCTCAAGGAGGAAAAAGCAATCGTCATTGGATAGCTTCCTTGTTAAAGTGTTCATGAAAAGAAAAAGATTCCATTGAGCCATAGATATCATTGATTCCATTAGGCATGGTGAAAGTTGTCCTACATAATAACCCTCTTCTCTTATTTCCCTCATACCAGCCATGAAGGTTTTCAAAGGTAAGTGCAGGTTAATTTGTTTATTGTCTTTATATTTTATATTTTCTTTATTATTTTGTATTATATTTTAGTATTATAATTATTTTTGTGTGAATATTTTTGGATTATGGAATAAATCATCTGAGTTTCCATTATTTCTTATGGGGAAATTCACTTTCATATACAAGTGGTTTGGATTACTTCCAGAACAAATTATGCTCACAAACTAAGGTTTTACTGTATAAATTTACTTAGCAATTAATTACTTGATGCATGTTTGGAGAGTTGAAAGTTAAGTTACCTAGTTTATGTTTAGATAGTTGTTAGTACAGTACACTAAAATATTTCAGCAGGCTTTGATTTTCTAGGACAAAATATGCTAGAGTGCTTGATAAAGCATTAAAGGATAAACTTTTTTATATACAAGGATTTCCCCCTAAATCATAAATTCACAAACTGGTCATTAATCAAAATCCAGAATGTTTTGCAGTTTTTGTGATCAAATAATTTACTTCACTGGCTCTCAACTGGAACCATCTAGAGTGTTTAAAAAAAAAAAAAAGAAAAGAAAAGAAAAAGAAAAACATTACCTGGGCTCTGACCCAGACCTGTTAGAACAGAATCTCCAGGGCAGCGTATTAGAAGCAAAAGAAGAGTAAAATACACAATACTTTTGTCCTTATCAGTGGGCCAAAGTCCTTTCAAGAGAGAGATTAAAGTAAATATAGCTGATTGGTTACCTTATAAGCATCACATGTGGAATTAGCAGTGAGTGTACAGAAGCTTTAGTCTCCAAACACACAGTTGTCTGAGAAGAGAACACTTCCATGGATCTACTTGTGGTTCTGGTGCTCTGTCTCTCCTGTTGGCTTCTCTTTTCTCTCTGGAAACAGAATCCTGGGAAGGGGAAGCTCCCGCCTGGCCCTCATCCTCTCCCTTTTATTGGAAATATCCTACAGGTAGATGTGAAGGACATGGGCAAATCTTTATGCAATGTAAGTATGCTTAATGCTCCTCCAGCAGTTTGCAAAGGGTATGTAGGTAAACAGCCACGTTTAAATAAAATATAGTTATCAAAATAAAGTATACAATATTAAAATTAAAACATCAAGATATGTCTATAAAGGAATACTCTTTGTGGAGTATTGTCAAGAACAGTGGAATAAGGGGAGCCAGGTTGGGTCAGTCAGTAGAGTGTGTGACTCTTGATCTCAGGGTCATGAGTTTAAGCCCCACACTGGGTGTTGACATCACTTTAAAAAAAAAGAATAGTGGAATATAATAATGTTTTCTATGAAGAGAGAAATATTTAGGTCATTCTGTGGTAGCATCAAAATAATCAAGTGGCAAAAGCCAGGAATGTTGCTGCCCTTCTTTGTTTCAGAGCCATTTGGTATGATTTCTGGCTGGAGGTAAGTGGTAAGGGAGGTGGTTTGTGACTAAAGATTTCATTTGAGAAGTCATCTACTATATAAACTGTGTGTTTTGTTCAGAATAGTCCTGAAAATTGAACTCTGAAGAAGCAAATTGTACCTGATGTCAAGGAAGTAGTTTTGGGTTTAGGACTCGCATGAATAAATGAAAGTAAAAAGAAATCCTCAGGACCAGCTGAATGGTACATGTACAAAGCCGCTGTCTGTCCGCCATGAATGCTGCAGGAGAGAAGCAATTGTCCTTCCATGAGATGCTTCATGTCCTAACACTGCCTCTCTGATGCTTGCTCTCGTTTTGTATTAGTAATACCAGATCTCATAGTGGGGTGTGCCTCGGCATCATCTGCAGTGATTTTTTTTTTAAATATACATTTCTAGTATCCATATTATGGCTACAAAGTCAGAATCTCCAGAGGATGAACTTTACAGATGATCCTGAAACCGTCACCTGGGTATTGGTCCCAAGGTGGACACTGGGCACTGGTAAATTGCTCAGACATCACAGGACTGCTAAGCAAGATTAAAATTTGGGTGTTTTGTTATTAGACACTGGAAATATATAGGAAGGTCTTTAAACTTCTGTCTATCTATACAACAGGGTAAATAAACCTAGCTCAAGGTGTTGATATGATGATTAGCTGTAATCTGAGTACTAATAGTCCGGGTCATTGCCTGTCAAATTAGAGGCCCTTTCTCTGTGCCAGCTGTAACAATCTTATTTATAATGTTTATTTTTTTTTTAATGTTTTATTTATTTCTAGGAGAGAGAGAGAGACAGCGTGAGCAGGGGAGGGTCAGAGAGAGAGGGAGTCACAGACTGAAACAGGCTCCAGGCTCAGAGCTGGCAGTCAGCACAGAGCCCGACGCGGGGCTCGAACCCACGAACCGTGAGATCATGACCTAAGCAAAAGTCGGACGCTTAACCGACTAAGCCACCCAGGCGCCCCTGTAACAATCTTATTTATACAAAAAAATCCCAAAATAGGTGAAGCCACGTTCAGCAGAATAAAAACATCAACAATATGATGATGGTATCAAGCTTAATCATGCACACACAAAAGAGTCATGCACAAAATATAGCCAAGTTGTGACCTCTTTGGGTAATTAATACATATTCTTTGGATTTCTCAGCTCTCAAAAACCTATGGCCCAGTTTTTACTCTGTATTTGGGCATGAAGCCTGCTGTTGTGCTGCATGGATATAAGGCAGTAAAGGAAGCCCTGATTGATCTAGGAGAACAGTTTTCTGCAAGAGGAAGTTTCCCATTAGCTGAAAGAGTTAATAACGGACATGGTAAGTGTTCTGGTATGCATGTTCAGCACCTGTTATGGGGGTAGGAAGGATGGAAAACAAGAATTTGAATGGGCAACTCAGCAGAACTTGGGCCATCCACAAGGCTTCCTCCTCCTTGCCTAGGATATCTGTCCCAATTTCTTCCCTCTGGTAGGAGTCCTTTTCACCAATGGAAAGACATGGAAGGAGATGCGCCGCTTCTCCCTCCTGACCCTGCGGAATTTGGGGATGGGGAAGAGTGAACTTGAGAGCCGAGTTCAAGAGGAAGCCTACTACCTGGTAGAAGAGTTGAGAAAAACCAACGGTGGGTTATTCTATAACTCTGACCTTGGCAGACTGTTCTTTTGTATGCTAATGTCTTTAGAAACATTTCAGCCCTCTTGTAGAAGAGAAAGGTTGTGCAGCAAAGAACCAAGGGAGCTTTTGTGTATCTATGCTTGTTATGTGTGTCCTTTCATGACTGCATAGAGTGTGTATATAAAAGGTCATTTATCCTATTCTGTCCCAAATTTGTTTATTTCCGAATCATTACATCATGAAGGAGGAATGTTTGGGGACTCATTTTTCCAAAGAGTTAAAACAGTGTTTTTCCCATAATGTAAATGTGGATTACCTATTTCAGAACATGTCACCAGGGAATGCTTGTCAAGTGTACACAATGGAAATGACCTCATCACCCCCTGATGGAGCACATGTAACAAGTGACAAGTGCTTTTACTTCATTGGTCTGTATGTGTTTGGTCAGCTTCATTGATATGTCCGAGAGTTTCTTCCTACGCCAATGTCTACATTTCTGGCAACAATGAAACTTTTTTATGGTTATAATTCCTCAGGCATCTTTAGTGCAGCTCTCATTAGTTGTAATATCCCTGTCAACAGCTATTTAAAACAATTTTTTAATTTAAATTCCATTTAGTTAACATACAGTGTTATATTAGTTTCAGTGTACAGTAGAGTGATTGAACACTTTCATACATTGCTCGGTGCTCATCACAAATACCCTCCTTAATCCCCATCATCTATTAAACACATCTCCCCCATTTCTATGCTGGTAATTACCAGTTTGTTCTCTGTAAAGAGTCTCTTTCTTGGTTTCCCTTTCTCTCTTTTCACCCTTTGCTCATTTGTTTCGTTTCTGATATTCCACATATGAGTGAAATCATATGATATTTGTCTTTCTCTGATTTCACTTATATCTCTTAGCATAATACACTCAAGCTCCATCCATGTCATAGCAAATGGCAAGATGTCATTCTTTTTGATGGCTGTGTAATATTTCGTTGGTTATATATATATATATATACCACTTCTTTATCCATTCATCAGTGGACACTTAGTCTGTTTCCATAATTTGACTATTTCATGTAATGCTGCTATAAGCATTGGGGTGCATATATCTCTTTGAGTTAGTATTTTAGTATCCTTTGGGTAAATATCTAATAGTGGAATTGCTGGACCGTAGAGTAGTTCTATTTTTTGAGGAACCTCCATATTGTTTTTCTAGAATAGCTGTACTAGTGTAAACAATTAATTTTAAATTATCAGGTAGATTTATTTAATGTTGCTTGCTCCCTATTTATTGTAGTATTGTTTAATATATGTTAAGAAATATATGCTATAGCATAATCCTGAAAATAACACAAATACCAAGTTATAAAATGATTTAAATTTTAGCTATTATTAGTAACTCTTTACCCTGCCTTCCTTATTAGTTGGCTCTGTTTTCAACTTACCTTATATTACTCTCCCTCATTATTATTCTATTAATCATGTTTATAATTTTCTCTATTTTGTAATGTGTTGACATCTTACGGGCTTGCGGAACCAGGAAACAGCCTTCCCTCCCAAGGATAATGAATTGCTAGATATAGCAAACATTTTGTCTTTGAGCATGTCTTTGATTTGTAAATCAACCTATCCTAGGACCATACTCCTAGCTGCTTCCTTTATCAAATTCTCACACACCAAGCCAATACTCTCCCTGCTCTAAATCAACCCAGAGCCAGTTACTGAAGAACTAGGGAACACCCCTATACCCAGAGCCTTCTGCAATTATTCAAACTATCTAATCCTAAATGTACTCAGCATACCTGCCCTGCCTTGCCCACTCCTTCCCATGAAAACCCCAATAAAGGCTCTGGCCCATGCTTTCCCCCTATTCCTTTGCCTCCTGATCTACCTTGGTGCTTCCCTCTCGGGTGATTGCTCCTCCTCTTGGGAACTCCAAGTAATAAACTGTCTTTTCAATTGCTATCTTCTCCTGGTCTATTGACCTCACCATCTAAATAATAACGGTGCCAAGTGCATTTTGAAATAATTAGATTTGGGGGTAGAACTTTTATGGTGACTATTTACCCCACCCCACCCTCCTGCCAGCTCTAGTGACCAACTTTAGTGACCTATGAAGTGCTTGTCTCGGTGAATCTGATTTTCAGTCTGGATTCCAAATTACCCTTCTTTTTAGTTCTCTCTTTCAAATAAAGTGAAAGATTAAAAACCAAATTTTAGGGGTGCCTGGGTGGCTCAGTTGGTTAAGGGTCCAACTTCGGTTCAGGTCATGATCTCACTGTCTGTGGGTTCAATCCCCAATCAGACTCTGTGCTGACAGCTCAAAGCCTGGAGCCTGCTTCTGATTCTGTGTCTCCCTCTCTCTATGAGCCTCCCCTGCTCATGCTGCCTCTCTCTCTCTCAGAAATAAATAAAACATTAAAAAATTTATAAAAAAATAAATCAAATTTTAGCTGCGAAACACACACACACACACACACACACACACACACGGAAATCTCAAGGACTTCCTAAATTATTCCCTCCTTAAAAATAAGTTTTTCTAAAAGTTTACTGTCCTTGTATGTTTCAACTGAAAAGGATTCTGGATTGGGGGCAGTTAACTAAACATGTTTCCTATTTTTTAATTCCTTCTCATTTCTTTCTCATTTTTTATTTTGGTTTTACCTTAATTACATTGATGATGTGATTTGGGGGGCCTTTTGCATATAAAGTTTATTGATCATTTGACTATAGGAATTTCATTTAAATATTTCCCACTAAAAAAATGAAACTTTTACTCTGCTTTAATTTATCTGTAAAATGACAGAATTGACTTATATGATAGTCCAGTTAAAAAATTTATAACAATATGGGCTTCTTATTATGGCTGTATATAGCAATATTGCAGAATTCCACAAGAGGGCAGGCTGTCCAAGTTAATATGGGGCCTGCTGGACACTATTGGTGATTTCCTAGGGAAGGAAATTATTATTCTTTTCTATATTGCAATAAGGAAATAAAAGGACTCTATTTACTGCCATTTATTTTATGTAAAAATATTTTTAATTAGGTTCCATGCCAAACATGAAGCTTTATCTCATGAGCTAGCCAGGCTTCTCAGGACTCTATCAAGTTAATCTTTTTTGTCTGCCTTATCTGTGACTTCTCTTTGAAATGAAGATTTCTTTTTGGTTTTTTTAATTTTATTAATGTTTATTTTTGAGAGAGAGAGAGACAGAGCACAAGCAGAGGAGGGGCAGAGAGAGAGGGAGACACAGAATATGAAGCAGGCTCCAGGCTCTGAGCTCTCAGCACACAGCCCAGTGTGGGGCTTGAGCTCACAAACCGGGAGATCGTGACCTGAGCCGAAGTCAGGAGCTTAACCAACTGAGCCACCCAGGCTTCCCTGAAATGAAGATTTCTTATTTTACTTTTATTTTAGGCAGACAAATCTGTAGTCTAATTTGTATTCATTTGTGTTAGTTTTTCTTCTACAACATGAATAGCTTTTTGCTTCTTTTATCTTTGTTCCATCAAATATCTGAATTTTTCCATAATCTTCTTTCCTTTCATCTTTTCCTCTGCTGATTTTACACGATTCACTTCAACTTCATTCTACATAAAAGGTTTCCAGGTCCTTAGCCATTTTCTTCCTTCCTACATTGAGCGCTCATTGTTTACAAGCTTACCAGACAGGTCTGATTCTTCATTCATAACCTGAATTGTTGGATTCAAGTTTTTTTTTTTTACTTTTATTATTATTTTTTAAAAAATATTTTTATTTATTTCTAGGAGAGAGAGAGACAGCGTGAGCAGGGGAGGGTCAGAGAGAGAGGGAGACACAGACTCTGAAATAGGCCCCAGGCTCTGAACTGGCAGTCAGCACAGAGCCCAACGCAGGGCTGGAACCCACAAACCGCGAGATCATGACCTAAGCGAAAGTCGGACGCTTAACCGACTATGCCACCCAGGCGCCCCTGTTTTTATTATTATTAAGTAATCTCCACACCCAATGTGGAGCTTGAACACATAACCCCAAGATCAACATTTGCATGCTCCACCTACTGCCACACACCTCTATTAGGTATTTTTAAAAGTGGCTTCTTGGAGCATCTGCTGGGCTCAGTCGGTTAAGTATTCATTCATGTCTTGATCTCAGGGTCATGGGTTCAAGCCCTGCATTGAATAAAATGTAAAAGAAAGGAAGGAAGAGAGAGGGAACGAGGAAGGAAGCAAGTGCCTTCTTTAACTTTTTTCTTTTGTTCTCCAAAGTAGTAGTCCCCTTGGGTCAAAATCAAGTAAACAAATGTAGTAATGTAAATGGAGTATTTGGAAAAATGATTATTAAACAAACAAGGATGGACTGGGCTTCACTTTTAAGGGAAAAGTGACAAGTTGATTTTAAGCATACTGAAATATTCACTGATAAGGCGATTGATAGGTACCTATTGCTTTAGAGGTTCTAAAATTCCCTTTATTTGTTATCAACAACAAAGACTTTTATATGTATATTTTAATGGTATTTAATAAATCTTTCCTATTCTTCTTTTTTTAATCTTTCCTATTCTTTAGCCTTACCCTGTGACCCCACTTTTGTCCTGGGCTGTGCTCCCTGCAATGTGGTCTGCTCCGTTATTTTCCAGAATCGTTTTGATTATACAGATCAGATCTTAATTGGCCTCCTGGAAAGATTTAATGAAAACTCCAAGATTTTGAGCTCCTCATGGATCCAGGTGAAGTCAAGATCCTCTCTCCCTGAGAAGCTACTTATACTGTTTTGTCCAACAAGTCCAAAATTCTGTATGAACCATGCTGTGAAGTGAATGAAAACTAGACATTTTGGATGTTATAATGTGGTAACTGTGGATTTCAGATTCTTCTCCCTCCCTGTGACTTGTTTGGTTTGTTTTGCTTGCTATGGGTTTATGTTGGGCGTTTTTTGCTCTCTATAGGCTGTAGATATTTATTTAGTTACTTTTCTGAACTCTTTTTGCTAAGTCTCTTCTTTGTCATGTGGGGTCTCTGAATTCTCAGTTCCCTTAGCTTGTATTAAGCTAACGCTTTGGTGGAAGTTTCATTGAATGTGAGGAGCTGAAAATAAGGGAGAAAGAGGAGGTAGGGGGGGTAGGGAAGGGGAAAGGAGGGAGAGAGAGAGGGAACTGGAGGGAAAGAGGAAGGGAGGGAGGAAGGAAGGGAGAGAGGGAGGAAGGAACTCTTCCAGATTGGCTCTGTGCTGGGATACTCCTTCAATGCTTTCATCAGACTGTATTCAATTCTTTCTCAGCTTGCGCTGAGCCAAGATCAACCAGAGGTGAAAACTTAGGGTCTTCTGAGGTCTTTTCTTAGCCTATGTCCTGCTTTCTAAACTTTAAATTTCTAAATTCCTCAGTATACATAGGTGCTTTTGAATGCCCTAATTTCCAGAAGATACTCTCTCCTCAGCTTTTCTTCCTAGGATTTTGGTGCTGTGTCATATGCTTTAACTAATCTTTGCCCCAGGAGGCTGTGGGTTATTCATTTGCCTTACAGAGTTTTTGAGACCTACCTACTGCCTTCCACCCTGACTTCTAAGTTCTATGAAACAAAGGCAAGAGTCCTTCAGATTGCCCCAGAGAAGTTGCAACAGAGGAAACAAAATTTTCTGTGAGGATGGTCAGCTCTAGTCTTTCTTGAATTAGAAACTAGAGTCCCACACAAGACGTTGCCCTTGTTAAGACCACTGCCAAACTGAGGAAAGAGGTGGGACAAGGACAAATTAAAAACTCCACAAAGCTTTCCCACCATTTTCAAGTTGCCTTTTTCTTAATTCAGCATTCACTTGATTGCTAGGTTTTCTAGAGTTCAGACAAGTTGATTCTCATGGGTTTTGCTAAAACGTTCACCTTTTTCACCAGTCATACTTAGTGAACTTTTGAATACCGAACTCTTGCCCAAGGCAAGCGTCCTGGAGGTGCATCTGAGAAAGATAGTCAAAACCTTTATTCACAGACAGGAAGACAAATGTCCCAATAGGAAGCTGGTGGAATTCAAGTCCATTGGTTCCCTGGCCGGTGGTTTTTCCACTAAACCTCAAACCTCAGTTTCCACAAGCTACTTTGGTAACTGCCTGGAAACATGACCACAGCACACCATGGGCATGCAAGTCCTTGCTGGAAGGTTCCCACTGGCCACAAGGCTTGTCCTCCACTTACTTAGTGACCTCTCTATCACATTGTTTAGCAGAAGTATGCTAATTTAGGAAGGAAGAGAATATCTCCTTTAAGAAAAGAAAAAGTTTGGGACCACAGATGCTACCAGGGAACACTGAGGAGGAACACAGCTTTGTGCTGTATATCAGGTTGCCCAAACTCCCTTGACCTTGGTCTTCATCTATAAAATGTGAATCATAGTAAATCATGTCATTCTGTATTTCAAGGTTGTGGGGGAATTAATATTTTAAAAATGAGAGAATTGGGACACCTGGGTGGCTGAGTCAGTTGAGCATCCAACTCTTGATTTTGGCTAAGATCATGTTCCCAGGGTCATGGGATCGAATCCTGTGTTGGGATCTGTGTTGACAGCATGCAGGGCCTGCTTGGAATTTTCTCTCTCCTCATTCTCTGCCTCTACCCCCACTCACACATGCACTTACTCTCAAAATAAACTAAAAAAAAAAAAGTTCCTCTCTTTTATTCTCCCTCTGCCCTGCTCATGCTCTCTCTCATTCTCTCTAAAAATTAAAAAACAGGCTTGCCTTGGTGGCTCAGTCTGTTGAGCATCCAACCTTTTGATTTCAGCGCAGATCATGATCTCATGGTTCATGAGATTGAGCCCCACATTGGACTTTGTGCTGATAGCACGGAGCCTGCTTGGGATTCTCTCTCTTCCTCTCTGTCTGACCCCCCCCCCTTTCTCTCTCTCAAAATAAATAAACTTAAAAAAACAAATTCATTTAAAAAAATAAAAAATTTAAGTAAAAAATGAGAGAATTGATATAAAGATGCTTTAACCTTTTAAGGTTGATGTATGCACATAGGAAATTATTATCTTCCATCATCTGGTCAGAGTTTTCTCCCTTAAATATCTCTATGAACATCAGACAGTTACTTTATATGTACAATATAAAATGCCCCCCCAGAAGATAGAGACCATTTTTTCTTCATCTCATTTCTTTAATGTTTTCAATTTAATAAATTAATTTTTTTTTATCTTTAAGATCTACAATAGTTTCCCTGCTCTCATTGATTATCTCCCAGGAAGTCATCGAAAAATATTTAAAAATTTTACTCGTACAAAAAATTATATTTTGGAGAAAATGAAAGAACACCAAGAATCCTTGGACATTAACAATCCTCGGGACTTCATTGATTATTTCTTGATCAAAATAGAACAGGTAAAATATTGGTGACTGGTAATTTATTTGTTTGCCTGCATTTTTGGGGTTTACCAATTCTGTACTTATTGGGGATGTTTAAATGGTCAGGCAAGAAATGTTTGACAAACACTTTAGGTTCTTATGTATGCATGGATCTGGATTGAGCATCATGGAAGATCTAAGGTTGAATTGCTATATAACTGGAATACACGGAACCTGTTTGTTAGGTTTCTACCTGAAAAGAAAGAGAATGTACACTTTAGAGGAAATGAAAATACAAACAGGTTAGAAATGACAAAATACTGAGCCATAAAATGAAGGTGGATATGATCATGTCACACAGCACGTAAGACAGTGAGAGGGAAAGGTTTAACCTTGCTAGGCTTCTTGCTTGTTCTGAGGGTTGATGTAGATCCTCAGATATTTGCAATAAGGAATAGGGGAGGGAATTTCAGATTGGTAGAGTGGTATGATGAGAAGTTTAGAGGTGTGTATGGGCAAAGAGATTGCATGGATGGAAGAGAGAAGTCTTCACTGAGTGTAACCAAACATGAATTTGGACGGATACAGAGTTGGACGTTGGTGTCTGTCAGGTAACTGTAAACCTGAGTGTTGGCATGACAAGTTTTGATTTGGCCACAAGAGTGGAATGCAAATAATTATTGGAGAAAATTACCCTGGGAGTTCTATAGAATGATCTGTATGATAAGAATGGGACTCAAGGACCAACTGTGAGATTATTCATTTCTTTTGACTTTGGCTTGATGACAGTCTGGACCATGGAAATACAGAGGATCCTGAAATCAAATCAAGTTGTTCATTTGGTCACATCTCAGAGATCTATAGAGGTTGGTTTTAGTTGGAGGAGAGGATAAGTAGGGATTGTATGGGAAGTTTTAGTAATAGGAACAGATATGATATTTGAGAGGTTTAACCAAGGAGTAAAAGATTTAGACTATAAATCTGAATGAGTGATAGGTAGGATCAAGTTGGAAATCATGTGACAACAATAATGCACATGCCATAAGGACACTTGTGTAGGTACAAAGTCCTCTTTGAACTGGGGAGAGACTGATTCCAGAATGCATTGTAAGGAGCTAATTCTAGAGAAGGAAATACCTTTCTTCATCTGAGGCCATCTTTATTTTATCCAGTCACCTTGTAACTCTGGAGAGAAACAGCAAACTAGCTAGTAAGCTAAAATAGTAAGAAGTCAAAGATGCGCATGAAGGTGACTGTCAAAGAATTGTCCATGGGTATCAACTAGACTGCTCAGTTCATGTATTCTGGGTGGAATGAAGTGAAGAACACAGAATGGTTTCAAGAAACTGGAAGAGGGATGAAGCAAATTGCTTCCACCCTCTTCTTTCTCTGCTTATAGGGCAATTATTATTATCTCTCTGGTGGTCATCTGATTTGAGAATCTGATTAAAAAGTATGGACATCTTCCCAGAAGAATGGACCTACATGAAAATAATTTTTACACACATTTTGTGGAATTTCCTTAATACCAGGAATCCTTTCCACTGATCCTGAGCTAATGAGGGCTCTGACATCTCTCATATTTCAACTAATAGTATTTCCTTAATACTTTGTTTTAAAAGTGCATTGTTCCTCTGAACTTCATCATAGTATTTAAATTCTAACTTAGTCCTTTTTGTTGTTGTTGTTAACATCTTCATAGAGTATAATTCACATATCATACCCGTCACACATTTCAAGTACAATTCAGGAGTTGTGTATTTTCAGAGTTGCGCAACCACCAAAGCAATCAATTACCAGACATTTTCATCACCCTGAAAAGAAGCCCCATAAGTGTGATCAGAAATATCCATTGCCAGGGACAGGAGGCAAGATGACAGAGAAGTAGGGAGCACCCTACATTTCGCCTGCACTCATCTCTCAAACTGAGAAGGCCTGAAGTCACAGGACACTGAGCCACAGGAGTTTCGGAAGAGAAAAAGACAGAATACACTGGGAAGGAAACCTCATATGTGCGTGAGTGCGAACTGGGCAAGATTAAAGCGGGTAGGACGCAGAGATACGGAGGAAGGGGAGGGAACCCGGCTTTCATGCAGCTGCGGTGAATGATAAATCGGTGAGTGGTGGCGAGCTGCCGCGAGTCTAGGGGAAAGGAAAGAAAAGCTGAGATTGTTCATAGAACCGTCCCTGGAGAAGAGAAAAACCTCGGCTTGGAAAGACAGTGTTTTTTAGCTTTGGCTGGGGTGCTGACTTTAAACTAGGTGTCCTGGTCCCAGAATGCGCCAGGAAAAACTGAACTGCCGTGCGCCTGGCACTATCCATGATGGCGGTGGCCCAGTGAACGGGAAGCAACACCTGCGGAGGTGGTCGCGGTGCCGGGTGAAGCGGCAGTGGCGCCCGTAACATCGGCCCACTAAAGTGGCAGCGGCTGCGACCCGGTGAAGTGGTGGCTGCGTGAGCGAAAAGTTGCTTGCTGAAGCGGTGGCGGCGTAGTGAGGCGACGCAGACTCTACGGACCTGAAGTTGCTACATTCCCCAAACGCACTCGGGTTGTACTGCTGCTTGACCCCGGCGGATCTGAGGCTGCGACACTTCCCCCACCCTCCATTCAACCCCCCAGCAACAGGGAAGCAGCCACCAGCGGAACTGTTAATGGCGGTATAACAAAGCCTCTCAGGAGTAATCGGACTAGATAGTTTCTCTGGATAACACCACCATCTTTCTCTCGCCTCTCCAACCATATTCCACCCTTTAGCTCTTTGAAAAAAAGCTTCTTATCCCTTCTGCCTGTTCATTCTATCTCCAATTTTGCCTCATCTCCGCCCTATCATCGCTCTCTTTCTCTATGCTCTTCAACCAGCACTGCATACACCCGGCTATTTAATTGTAGCTGGGAAATCTGGTTATATATATGCTTTAAGCTGATCTTTTTCTATCGGTTTTCTTCTTCCTTTTCTTTGCTTCTTTATGACTTTTTTATGTATTTTTGTTTTCTATCATTCGCCTTCCCTCCTCTGTCTTTTCTCATTACTTTTTAGTTTTCCCTCTTGGTTAGTGTGATTGTTGGATTTGCTGTGCATTTGTGTCCCTCTGTTCCCTATGTGTTTGTCTGTATATTTTCTTCTCCAGGGCTACCTCAAGAAACAAGCCAAAGTACACATGGTGGAGAGTCCCAAATACCACTACGAGTAGGAAAATAAAATAGCCAAGGTCTCAACAAGAGAGACCAAGAGATACATTCAAAGAACACTTTCTGAAAGGATAGGCCCTGAACAGACAAAGAGTCTTCTTGGGTACAGCAGTGCTCACAGGTACAGAGAGCATAACAAGTCTTTAAAACTAACAAGAGACAGAAAGCTAATTAAAATGACGAAACGAAAAAGCTCTCCTCCAAAGAAATTCCAAGAAGAATTGACAGCTAATGAACTGCTCAAAACAGATATAAGCAGCATAACTGAACAAGATTTTAGAACAATAATCGTAAAATTAATCGCTGGGCTTGCAAAAAGCATAGAGGACATCAAAGAAACTATGGTTACAAACAATATGGAGAACAAAAATAGGCATGATGAATTTAAAAATGCGATAAATGAAATACATAATAAACTGGAGGTGTCCAATGCACGTATTGAAGAGGCAGAAAGGAGAATAAGTGATTTAGAAGACATCATTATAGAAAAACAAGAAGCTGACAAAAAAAGACAAACTGATCCAGGAACATGAAAGAAGAATTCAAGAGCTCAGTGACACAGTCAAACGCAACAATATCCGTATCATAAGAATCCCAGAAGAGGAAGAGAGAGGGAAAGGGGCTGAAGGAGTCCAGGAACAAATTATAGCAGAGAGCTTCCCCAACCTGGGGAAGGAAGTAAACATTGAAATACAAGAGGCTCGGAGGACTCCCGTAAGACGTAATTTGAATCGATCTTCTGCACGACATATCATAGTGAAAATGGCAAAATATAAGGACGAAGAGAGAACTTTGAGAGCAGCTAGGGAGAAAAGGGCCCTAACATACAAAGGGAAACCTATCAGAGTGGTGACAGATCTATCTGCTGAAACTTGGCAGGCCAGAAAGGAATGGCAGGAGATCTTCAATGTGATGAACATAAAAAATATGCAGTCACGAATCCTCTATCCAGCAAGCCGGTCATTCAAAATAGAAGGAGAGATAAAAGTCTTTCCAAATAAACAAAAAATGAAAGAATTTGTCACCACTAAGCCAGCCCTACAAGAAATCCTGAAGGGGACTCTCTAAGGGAAGTATTGCAAGGAACGAAGACACCAGAGACACCACAAGCATGAACCCCACGAAGAGCACAATGACTCTAAACCCACATATTTCAATAATAACACTGAATGTAAATGGGCTGAATGCTCCAATCAAAAAACATAGGGTAGCAGAATGGATTAAAAAAACAAAATCCATCTATATGCTGTCTACAAGAGACCCATTTTAGATTGGAAGATACCTTCAGATTAAAAGTAAGGGGATGGAGAAATATCTATCATGCTATGGGAAGTCAAAAGAAAGCTGGAGTAGCTATACTTATATCAGACAAACTAGACTTTAAATTAAAGACAATAACAAGGGATGAAGAAGGGCATTATATAATAATTACAGGATCCATCCAACAGGAAGCACTAACAATTATAAATGTCTACGCAGCGAATATGGGAGCACCTAAATATTTAAAACAATTAATCAGTAACAGAAACAAGCTTATAGATAAGAATGTGCTAATAGCAGGGGACTTTAATACTCTGCTTACAGCAATGGATAGGTCAACCAGACAGAAAATCACTAAAGAAATAATGGACTTGAATGACGCGATGGACCAGATGGATCTGACACATATATTTAGAACTCTGCCTCCTGAGGCCAAGGAATTCACTTTCTTCTCAAGTGTGCATGGCATATTCTCCAAGATAGATCACATACTGAGACATAAAGCAGCCCTCAATAAATATAAAAGAATTGAGATCATACTATGCACACTTTCAGATCATAATGCTTTGAAACTTAAAATCAATCA